AGGGGTTTTGATAGAGAGTAATATTCTACAAGATAATGGTTCGGTTTGTAGAAAACAAAAAATGTCAAGCTTTCTCCACTTTCAACTGGCTAGATGCCCTGTACATGGTAGAGGATTTTCTTGGCTAACTTGGGTGATTTCTGTTTCTTTGTGGCACACATTACACCTACGTATTGTTTCTTGGTAGCTTCATGTCCGAGCAGGATAATGTTGATGATGAGGTTGTCTAATATAATCTAATCACTTGTAGTTTTCTGCAGATGTTCAGTCCCATAGATGTATTACTAATACTCTGACTATCCTGAGCGATGCTGTAATATATTTTTACATTTTCCTAGATGGTACTTTTTAACACTTCTGTCCTATCACTTTAACTGTGCCCATCACATTTATTTTGTAATCAAGACCTTGGTGCTAAACAGTTCACATCATTGTGGGGATATGTTTGACTCTTGCAGTATGCCTATTAGTCAGTTTTGTAAGGGCTGTCTTTGGTTTTCCATGTGCTTTGAAGGTTGTGGGTTTATTTCGTGCTCAGTTCATAAATGTATTTCATATGAAGATCTCTGGGGATTTTGTCTGGAGCTATGGAGTTTGTGCTTTGTGTGACTTACTCAACAGGCAGCTGTCTTTTCTACAGAGGTAGACCGAGCCACCTAGGATAAAACCCAGTGTAATGAATTTGATCTTCAATTTAAACTTTAGAAGAAATAAAATGTGTTAATGGTATGGCTGTGTGGATTTAGAGATTAGTGAATGTGTATAACAGTTCTATGATCCAAGTGCTTTGATTTGATTTCTCTGTTGAGTATTTTTTTTTAAAACTATTCTTGTAATTTTTGGGACAGAAGAGAACTGTTTAATGGGGATCATAGTTGATACTCCTTATATTAGCAAATTTATGATCTGTTTCTGGAATTGCAAGAAAGGAGAAGAGAGCATTTGGTCCGTGTTGGCTGTAGTCCAGACAGTTCAACACTGCTGCATGTCACTACACTACTGTTGCTTGGCAGCACAGGATATAATTTATGAGATGAATTAACATAACACTAATTATGGCTAGAAGGCTTACAGTAGTAAAAGAGAAGAGATACATAGCAAACACAACTGAATGTTTTGACCAATGTCTTTGTCAACAACAAATTAAATACATCAGAAATCCTAAACCATGACTACACATAGCAGCTCATGTAGGGAAAGAAATAGTGAACCATGTCACACACATGATTTTGTATCAATGCAAAGCTTTTATTTGATTTTGTTGTTTTGCTTTAAAAACTTGTTTTTGCTGCATTTTGTTGCTTACATCATAATCCAGGAGTCCCTGTGCATTATTCTGCTAGCGGTGAGTTATTTACATGTTGTTTTTTTCTAACTTTCTGTGTGATTTCCTACATTATCCACAGTTTTGCTAATTTGATAATTTTTAACGCGATGAGTATGAAGATTGATTTAATCATTTATGATTTCCATATGTTATAAGTCTTATAATGTATAAATATCTTCAACAGGTTACTAATGTATGTTGGATTTCATTGTCAGATGTTTAAAGTAAAGGTCCCATTTCCACACTTGAGGTGTATTGTGTATATGATGCTAACCCTAAGATTGTATAGACCAGTCAGCTCTCAGTTGGTGATGTGGTCGACGTTACGTCTGTCTTCTTGATTTCCAAGGACATGCTCTGGTACCCTTTGTAAGCTGGGACAGTCTGGCAGCCAACGTTCAGTTATGAAAAACAAAACAGGCTCTTCCAATACAGATTTAAAAACAGGCTGTTCCAGTGCAGATTTAAACAAAACAGGCTGTTCCAGTGCAGATTAAAACAAAACAGGCTGTTCCAGTGCAGATTTAAACAAAACAGGCTGTTCCAATGCAGATTTAAACAAAACAGGCTGTTCCAATGCAGATTTAAACAAATCAGGCTGTTCCAGTGCAGATTTAAACAAATCAGGCTGTTCCAGTGCAGATTTAAACAAATCAGGCTGTTCCAGTGCAGATTTAAACAAAACAGGCTGTTCCAGTGCAGATTTAAACAAAACAGGCTGTTCCAGTGCAGATTTAAACAAAACAGGCTGTTCCAGTGCAGATTTAACCTCTCAAGATCTTCAGGCAGCAGACAAATATCTGGCCACTTTGCTACTATCCACAAATAAAGTGAGCTTAAAATATTTCGGGGGAAAAAAAAGTTCCCTTGTCTAAAGACGACTACCAAGCACCATATTTGTCAATGTATAAGATGCGCCCTCGTATAAGACGTACCCCAAAAATTGAAAGAAATTTTCCAGAAAAAACAACTCAGATTTAAATAAAAATATTAACTAATGTGAAAAAGTTATTTACTGACCTTCAGAAGTGTTTCAATCCACAAAAGATCCTGTTGAGGCTGCCAAAGCCTGATGGGTTTTTTCCATCAGTGGAGATCTCCTGGAGTTTAACACTCATGGTATATGTATGCCACTTACTATCCTTTTCCATCTGGGAATTGTGATCTGCAATCTCATCTGCAAGTGTAATGTACTTACTGAAAATATTGACTGACATAATAAGCAGCACAATGAAATAGTGATGCAATAAGTACGCAGAGATTTACAATCAGGCAACTTTCAGTATCATGTGATCTCTCTCTCTCTCTCTCTCTCTCTCTCTCTCTCTCTCTCTCTCTCTCTCTCTCTCTCTCTCTCTCTTTCTCTCTCTCTCCCCCCCTCCCTCTCTCTCTCTCCATCCCTCCCTCCCTCTCTCTCTCTTTTTTGCTTTCTTGGTCATGTTACCAGTTTAAAAAAAAAAAGAGCAAACATCGCTGTGGAGTGATGGAATGAAATATTACTACTTAGAAAGAATGGAGGCTTCCACAGTGATGCATTTTGTATATGATACTGTTCTCCTGTCTGTCGCATTCACAGGTCATATTGTTACCTCGTGAAAGCAGAAAATGCCAAGATCTTGAAAGGGAAAACTAGAGTGTCGGCATCTATGAAAAAATAACACTACACGTAGATCTACCTTCAATGTATAAGATGCAGCCTAAATAGAAGGCCTATTTTGAGAACAAATATGTGTGTCTTATACACTGACAAAAAGGGTAGACCGAAGGAAAGATAAGACAGTAAAAAAGTACAGCTCAAATTTCCAAATTCTTCCTCTTCTTCGTATTTACTGGCTGTAAATACTGGTGGAAAATCTGGTTTGTTCGTCCACTTCTAGACTTTAATCTTGTTCCATAAACATCCATTGTGCATAAACATCCATTTTACATATGTCTGCAGACTGTTGGTCTCTCTCCAGTAATTAGTCATCTTAGTTTGTTCCCCCCCCCCCCCAACCACATACCCACACATTTGGGTGACACCTGGAACACTCACAGAGAAAATCCTCCAAATTATTCTACAAAGCAATACTAATTGACAATTTCTGTTTGTTAATTGTTTATTGTATTTGTACAGTGTTTTTATTTTTACATATATTTTTTTAATGTGGGGTAAAAGCATAACTTAAAAAACAGACTGGCAGGCCGTGTTTGAAAGTCTTGCCATTAGTGGGAGAGAGTTAAGTTCATCTGCTGTGTTCTTGTGCATGTTTTTTTTTTTTTTTTTATGTTAATGAAATTATTATTATACCATTTCTTTTGAGATGTGTGGATTCTGTACATTAATAATGTACTCTTGTTTGGTTTCTTCTTATTTATTGTCTTGTTGAGAGATTGTAAGGGTTAAATAGACGAGATGTGAAAGTGACAGAATGCCTTGGGTTTTTCCGGTCACTGTTTTTATATTGTTTAATATTTTTATACTTTGTCTTATTTGAGATAAATAAACTAAATGTATTATTTGTAACATACAAATATGCAGTTATTTTTGATCTGCCTGTTAGCTTGTTAAATATTTGGTCAAGTTCATGAAAGAGTGGTGGAAATATGGGGGTGACTGCAGTCAAGAGTGAAGATCTTATTCAGGCCTGTTCTTTAGTTCATGAAACAGGGAAAGGCTCAGTCAGACCAGATTTGCTTGCTTTTTGCAGCATGAAAATCTCAGTCAGACCATATTTGTTTAGTTGTTTCATGAAACAGTTCATGTCAAACAGAAAGGTTTGTTTACTTCATGAACAGGTGCATGTCTGAGACTTGAGGGATAGATAGAATTGTGAATTAGTGGTGGTGTGATTTCAGTGACAGGTGTTATTATGTGTATAAGAAGATACCCTGTGCCTCACACCCATGGAGCTAGCAGGCTCTGTGCTGGTTGTAGGGATCCTGCCACTTGTCCTCATTATGTGGTACGGTGATGTCCTCATCATGTGGTACGATGATGTCCTCATTATGTAGTACGATGATGTCCTCATCATGTGGTACGATGATGTCCTCATCATGTGGTACGATGATGTCCTCATTATGTAGTACGATGATGTCCTCATTGTGTGGTACAATGATGTCCTCATCATGTGGTACGATGATGTCCTCATTATGTGGTACGATGATGTCCTCATCATGTGGTATGATGATGTCCTCATCATGTGGTACGATGATGACCTCCTCATGTGGTACGATGATGTCCTCATTATGTGGTACGATGATGTCCTCATTATGTGGTACGGTGATGTCCTCATTATGTGGTACGATGATGTCCTCATCATGTGGTACGATGATGTCCTCATCATGTGGTACGATGATGACCTCCTCATGTGGTACAATGATGTCCTCATTATGTGGTACGGTGATGTCCTCATTATGTGGTACGGTGATGTCCTTATCATGTGGTACAATGATGTCCTCATCATGTGGTACAATGATGTCCTCATTATGTGGTACAATGATGTCCTCATCATGTGGTACGATGATGTCCTCATCATGTGGTACAATGATGTCCTCATTATGTGGTACGATGATGTCCTCATTATGTGGTACGATGATGACCTCCTCATGTGGTACGATGATGTCCTCATTATGTGGTACGATGATGTCCTCATCATGTGGTACGATGATGTCCTCATTATGTGGTACGATGATGTCCTCATCATGTGGTACGATGATGTCCTCATCATGTGGTACGGTGATGACCTCCTCATGTGGTACGATGATGTCCTCATCATGTGGTACGATGATGTCCTCATCATGTGGTACGATGATGTCCTCATTATGTGGTACGATGATGTCCTCATTATGTGGTACGATGATGTCCTCATCATGTGGTACGATGATGTCCTCATCTTGTGGTACGATGATGACCTCCTCATGTGGTACTATGATGTCCTCATTATGTGGTACGATGATGTCCTCATTATGTGGTATGATGATGTCCTCATCATGTGGTACGATGATATCCTCATCATGTGGTACGATGATGACCTCCTCATGTGGTACGATGATGTCCTCATCATGTGGTACGATGATGTCCTCATCATTTGGTACGATGATGACCTCCTCATGTGGTACGATGATGTCCTGTATTAGGAAAATCTAAGCTGGCAGGGAATCTTAGAGTTGGTGCCCCCAGAGAGGCAGTGCCCAAAAATCTTTTGGCCTCGTCAGCCCATCTGTATGCATGGGTGATAACGTACAAGGACAACCATTCGGAACATGGGCGAAGACCAGTGCCTGAGTGCCCTACTAAATGATAAACTCAGGTTCCAGTGTCTTCACTCAAAAGTACTACTGTATGACATGGTTCAAATGTCTATCGACAACGACTCCTACTGTTTGGTTGCTTAGCTTCAAGTATCCGTCCATCTAGTGTTCTAAGTGTTCTCCTGTATGATTTGGTTCAAATGTCTATCGACCAAGACTCCTACTGTTTGATTGCTTAGTTTCAAGTGTCCATCCATCGAGTGTCCTAAGTGTCCTACTGTATGACTTGGTTCAAATGTCTATCGACCAAGGCTCCTACTATTTGATTGCTAAGCTTCAAGTACGTCCATCGAGTGTCCTACTGTATGACTTGGTTCAAATGTCTATCGACCAAGGCTCCTACTATTTGATTGCTAAGCTTCAAGTGTCCGTCCATCAAGTGTCTTAAGTGTTCTACTGTATGACTTGGTTCAAATGTTTATCGCTAAAGACTGCTACTGTTTGGCTGCTTAGTTTCAAGTGTCCATCCATCAAGTATTGTACTATCTGACTTGGTTCAAATGTCTGTTGACCTCCTTCCATCGAGTGTATGACAGCTTAGGTAAAGATTCATAAGTTCCTTGTTCATAAATACTACTTTATGATGCAAAATATTAAAATGCCTACTACCAGTGGTCACACTTGTCATAGTTTAATGACCTTAAGGCCATGCTTCCCATAATTGCTGCAAAATGTGCTCTAGAGCATTTGCATGAAAGGTCTCATTGTCAAAGTAAGGTGCTGAGGACATGAAGTGCCCATTTGTTTTAAAGAGTCAGGAGTCCCAGGTCTGCAGACTGCTTCCTGGGGATTTCCTAAGGGAACAGCGTGTAATGAGAAAAACGCTCAAAATATAGATGTGAGGTTAAGCAGTCGTGGGCAGGACATGAAGATTCCTCCTTGCCTGAGCCACAGCATTTATTGAACCCTCCTTAGATGGCAGGGTTTGCCCAGCATGCTCTCCTCCTGCCTTCCCTTGAGATTAACGAATTTGCACGTGTCTGCCCTTAGTGGATCCTCAAGGGAGATCACCACGGACTAGGGGAGGATAAAGTCACATATTTAAGGTTACAATTGTCCCACGAAGCAAATCAGGAAAGCTAACCAAGATAACAAATGCCTCAAGAAGTTAGATATGTCGGCCAAAAGGCGCAGATATCTCAACTCTGCTGTGAACTGGGACAACTCATTAATGCACTCAGTCAAGTGAGGAAGAAGAAGTTGGAAAAAAGAAGTGTGAATTCTCAGAAAATCTTGGTTTAAATGGTTCAGATCAGATCAAAAGTTTCTGGTTGTTTTAGCTCCAAAAGGATTTGCATCTGTCAGAGCAACATTGGTCTAGACTTTCCTCCCAAAAATACTGCATTTATTGCAGAGTTCTCCTTCCACCCTATAAACAGAAACTACTGGGTATAGGTACAGTCGAGGCAGGCTCCAAATGTAGGCAGTTGACTGACACCACTGCAAAGCGCATGGGGTTACCTTCATCTTTGTCTCAGGTCATGCACGTGTTGTCAGCAATAAAAGAATTGATAGACTGGCTGGCTCTGTCACAGCTGCGGAGGGCCGGCCTATGGATCATGGCAACATTGTTGAAGCCCTTAAAGAGAGAGGACAATGGGGGCATTTTGAATGCAGTATGACTGCTAAAAATGCAAAAAATCAGAACTAAAAATGGACACAGCCAAACATGAGAAGTACACCATATGTGTGCAAAATCTTGTCAACCAGCATATATTTGACACTATTAACTATAAGTTGGGTTATCTTCACTGCACTCCAGCCATGTGCATGGGTGCTCACACTCCCCCTTCAACATATACATCAGTCCTGTGGTTAACAGTGCCCATGGATGAAATGACACCACAAAAGGCTTATAAAACAGCATTAGGTGACTGGACACTCATGCACATACTTCATAGCATGGTCCAAAATGCTGTTCTACTTAAATTAAATACACTTATCTGAAAAAATCTGAATCCCGCGGAAGTGAGGTCTGCAGGTTACACCAGTGTCATACTGATGTCTATGCTAAGGTGGGGGAGGGAATCTGACCACCTATGGACCTGTCCAGTGTGCCATGAAGATAACCTGACTCATTTGTCCAGTGTGCCATGAAGATAACTTGACTCATTTGTCCAGTGTGCCATGAAGATAACTTGACTCATTTGTCCAGTGTGCCATGAAGATAACTTGACTCATTTGTCCAGTGTGCCATGAAGATAACTTGACTCATTTGTCCAGTGTGCCATGAAGATAACTTGACTCATTTGTCCAGTGTGCCATGAAGATAACTTGACTCATTTGTCCAGTGTGCCATGAAGATAACCTGACAAATTTGTCCGGTGTGCCATGAAGATAACTTGACTCATTTGTCCAGTGTGCCATGAAGATAACTTGACTCATTTGTCCAGTGTGCCATGAAGATAACCTGACTCATTTGTCCAGTGTGCCATGAAGATAACCCGACTAATTTGTCCGGTGTGCCATGAAGATAACCCGACTAATTTGTCCAGTGTGCCATGAAGATAACCTGACTCATTTGTCCAGTGTGCCATGAAGATAACCTGACTCATTTGTCCAGTGTGCCATGAAGATAACCTGACTCATTTGTCCGGTGTGCCATGAAGATAACCTGACTCATTTGTCCGGTGTGCCATGAAGATAACCTGACTCATTTGTCCAGTGTGCCATGAAGATAACCTGACTCATTTGTCCGGTGTGCCATGAAGATAACCTGACTCATTTGTCCGGTGTGCCATGAAGATAACCTGGCTATTTATTCACACTTTCCTGTATGGATTCCAGGGTCCTGTTTTGGGGGGAAAAGTAACAGGACTCACTGTCCCCCTAAAAAAGCATTTCATAAAATTCAACTAATGAGGGGTGGTTGCTACAATGTCAGAGTGTATCTGCCTGAGCGGCGAGGGGCCAGCCGTCTGCATACAAGTAAGCCAGATTTGTTAAAAAAATATGCACACAAAAATTCAGCTCTGGAACAAGATCAAAGAAGTGTTAAAAGAGAATGCATGTTGAGAAATTTATTGCCTGTCATATTGTGCTCAATCTTATCAGGTGTATTACTACAGAAATAACTTCAAAATATAAATATTTATTTAAATTTATAATGGGAAAACACTTTTAACTTAATGTAGTTGTCAAATATTTTTTTTTTTTTTTTCAATACCTAGCAGACGATAATGGCTTCCAGTTAAACTATCCTTCCAACTTGACTGTTGCAGAAATCTTTATTTTAATTGGACACTTTAAGAAGAGAAGGCTCGCAACATTAATTTGATATGGAAAGAAGCTGTGAAATTTCAACAGAATGTAAAAATTGGTTTAATGTCACTACTGATGAGAATATCACTAGAAACAATACATTTAGTATTCTGGTTAGTTGAAACAGTTGTCACATTAGAGCAATGGTTCCCCAAAAAATAGCTGAGAACTGATGGGAGCGGAAGCACTCTCCTTACTTTTGAAGCTTTTCTTTTGACCGTATACTTTTAATAAACATACTGAAGAACTTATAATTTATCAATATTAGAATCAAAGAACAAAATTCATTATAAAATTGTGTGGGTTTTTTAGTGTTATTTTTATATATATATATATATATATATATATATATATATATATATATATATATATATATATATATATATATATATATATATATATATATATATATAGTTAAATAATAAACCCTTTAAAGTGGTTATATGGATTCCAGAGGTCCATGGTCAAACATATGGATTAGAGAATATGTTAATTTTGTGATATTATTACCAGTTCTGCCTGGATTGTAAAAGAGTTGATCTGAGGCAACATTTGTAGCACAGGCTGACACTTAACAGTCAACCTTATCCTTCATTCCTGGATGGCCAGTTTCTGAAACTGAATTGTTTGCTATTTATACGCTCATTATCATCATGATGATCACAGGTCATCTTCACATTGATGGTTGGATCTAATTAGTCTGCATGTCCTGCATCTTCATGGTGTACTTCCAGTCCATCTCTTGATGTTGTCCACCCACATGTAACATTATCTTCCTCTTGCCTGTTTCCACTTTAATTTTTATCACTAGCACACAGATACCCAAACTTTCTAGTCCATGCCAATAAAAAAAAAAGGCTTCTTTAGTGCCCCTTAGAAATCCACCTTCTGTAATAAAAAAAAACTTATAGATGCAGTGACATATTTTTTCCCTTATATGTCAGTCCGTATTCCTATGTCTTGACACAGTATATCTATATTCTGACACCATTGACCAAAAATAGTTTAGTCAGCAACCACAGTCACACGGGACAGTATCATCATCATCATGTGCCTGCCAACTGGTGTAGGCGCTCATGCTTCTCCACAGATCACGATCCCTGGTTGCCTAGAACAGCTCTCTTGATGATATCCCTCCAGGCCATCGTTTCAGCCCATCCAGCATCATCTCTTGGTCTGCCTCTACCCCTTATTCCACTGATCTTTTCAGTTATGATGATATTCTCCAATGACTCTCTACTCATTATGTGGCCAAAGAACAGTGTTTGTCTCTTTCTTATTGTTGTATATATAGAGATCTACTTTCATTAGCTTCTTTCAAGCAATTGTTGTTAGTTATTCAGGCCGTCCTATGTATTTGTAATATTCGTCTCAGAAACCACATCTCTGTTGCTTCTAAATTCTTCCTAATTTTTTTCACTGACATTCTGAGATTCGCTGCCATACAGCAGAACAGGTTCTATGTAACATTTTAGCACCCTCTTTATGACATTAAATGAGGGCGATTTATTGCATATTTTTCATTTTCTTAAATACAGCTTTTGCTTGACCTATTCTGCTTTTAATCTCTGTCAC